CATTTGATATAGCGCTTTTCACGTCGGGAGGACATCCCAAAGCGCTTCACAGAATATACTGTAAAGTGAATTGACTGTATATTTGAGGGCGAACGCGGCAGCCAATTGCGCACAGCAATGTCCCACAAACAGTCGTAGATTGAAAATGACCAATTTATTATTGTTTTTAGTTTTGGAGGGATTATTATTAGGCGTGTGGAGTAAGGAAACTTGCCCAAGGTTTCGCCCTGACCTGCCTGGAATTGAACTCAGGTCTCTCGCTTGCAAAGCGAGTGCTCTAACCACTGAGCTACAGGACTCCACGTAGCTGAAAGGAAAGGCAGTGGAAAAGAATAGAATGTTTGACAGTGTTGAAGGCAGCAGAGACGTGGAGGCACAAGAAGGCAGAGAAAGCCTTGGTCACAGATGGGGAGAATATCATTTGTGACTTTGACCAGGGCAGTAGGTGGTACTGTGGGCAGCATGGATATCGGATTGGAGGGGCTTGTGCTCTCACTGCACTATCAGTAGGCAGTTTTTAGCCATTCTCCCCCACTCTCTAGTATTCTATCCTGAAATCTTTCTTCCAGTTTGCTCTCTCCCTCCCTCCCTGCTTCAAATCCTGCCATCCTTTGGATGAGATGTTAAACCAATCTCCTTATCAGTGGATGTTAAAGTTCCCATGGCACTATATTCAAAAAGAGAAGGGGGTTTCTCTTGTATTCTGTCTGACAATCTCCCAAATAAAATTAGTCATTCACTTCATGGCAACTTGTGGGATGCTGCTGTGTGCAATTGGCTGCCAGGTTCCAGTCACTAAACTTTACAGGAAATCTTGTGCAGGGCTTTAAGATGTCTCAATAATGTGATAAGATCACAAAATCACTACATTGGTTTGCTTGCATGAAGAAGGTCCTTCTGTCCATTTATCTCATCCCTTCAGAACATTCCACCATCACAGCATCAAACTGCTTTTTAAATGAGGTCAGTCAGTGTCCTGGCCTCTACCTTCTTTCCTGGCAAAAAAACCCGTTATATATCAAATACAAAGATTATTTTTACAATATTGGAAACACCCAGTGTACAGAATCATGGTTATCATCAGCATCTCTCCATAGGATACCAAGGATGGGTCAGAGCCATTTACCCTGAGCCTTACATACCCACTAACAACAACAACTATAGGAGGAAAAACTTGCACATTGGAGGAAAAACGTCAACACCATCAAGAAAGAACATTGTTTACATCAATGGGCCCTGAATCTTTGTCCTTCACTTTTATACGAAGAGATGAAAAAGAGAATTGAAAGGCACAGGCATCCTTCTACCACCAGGCAGTAGATTTGAATGAAAAACAGTCGTGAATGGAGGAAATGTATCATCTTCAGATTGTTGTAAATGGACTCAGTCCAGACTCGATCGATTTCTTAGTAAGTGTAAGTTCATAGCCATATAAAACGCTCATAATGTGATACGAATTGGCATGAAATTGTAAGTCTCACTCAGAGAGGCAACAAGGATGAAAATGGAAACATTTACACTGATGCACCAGGGGTGCTCTTCTGAAGTTGGGTTAAATGTTGTACTAAACCAGGACTGTTCTATCCATCACCTCAATGAAACAAAAACAATTGTAAACTGAAGAAGTCCTTCTGCCCGATGCCCAGATCTGGTGTCAGTACATTAAAAATGATGGTTCAGAAGTAAAATAACTCTTGTACATGTGCAGAAGGTTGGGGACTGGGTATTGTAACAGGTTAGACAGTGGCCTCTGGAACACAGATTACACTGAAAAAATGTAAGTTTCCTTCACTTCTTGCTCAAATGTTAAAATATTGTGTGTTAAACAATTTGTGGCATTTTTTTTTAAAAAACAAGTCTCTCTGAGACAGAAAGGGGGAGAAACAAAGAGAGAGCGAGAGAGGGAAGAAGACAGAAAGAGAGAGAGGAAGAGAAAGAGAGATAATAATAATAATACTTGCATTTAATATTGCGCCTTATCACGTCTTCTAGACGTCTTAAAGCACAAGGTTTTGCCCTGCCGGGAATCAAACCCAGGTCTCTCGCTTGCGAGGCGAGTGCTCTAACCACTGAGCTACAGGACTCCACAGATAGAAAGGTAAAGAGAGAAAGGGGGGAGGAGACAGAGAGAGAGGGAGAAGCAGAGAGGGAGATGGAGAGAGGGGAGGGATTGTCTCCATCCCTCTCTCTGTCTCCCTTCCCTCTCTGTTTCCCTCTTCTCTCTGTCTATCCAGTCTCAACAAGGCAGCATTAGATGCACTAGGATTAGCCTCAGCTCCCTGGGTTAGGGAAAGAAAACAACAATAACAACAACAAGATTTCATTTGCGTTTCACGTCAGGAGGACGTCCCAAGGCGCTGGACAGTTGGGTCAGGACCCGAGCAGGGGAAAATGGTCAGGGTGAGGGGAGGGAAGGGAGGGAGCGAGGAGGGGGTAGAGAGTCGAGAGGGGAGCTGAAGGCACGGTCAAAGAGAAAGGTCTTGAGACCGGCCTTGAAGGGATGGAGATCCAGAGCCTAGAGGAAAATAAGGCAAGGCTCATGATCACTACACAGGGATCCTCCTGGAAGGTACATATTAGTTGAGAGCAGCATTGGCTTTGGCTGTGATTGCCCCCCACAGTCAAATAGCCTACAAACGCTTACTGTGTCGGCTCACATGAATAATGGGCAAGGTATTACAACAATTTACATTTAAATAGCGCCTTTCTCATCAGTCGGCCATCTCAAATGCTTCACACAGGTGACTGGGAGCCCAAATTTGGGGAAGGGGGTGGTAGCTGAGGGGGATCATGAGGTAGCTGAAAGCAGTCAAAAAAGGTGAGCTAGGGAGAGACAGCAACACCTATAGAACTGTACCTCAGTAAAATAAAATAAATGAATAAATAATAATCCTTGCACCTCATCACATTGTTGAGATGTCTCAAAGTGCTTCACAGAATATACTATATAATTAATTGGCTGTATATTTTGAGGGCAAAGGAAAAGGAGTCAAACTTGGGTGGGAGGGAGGGAGAGTGGGAATAAATTGGTGAAAACAAAGTACACGATGGGTACAAAAAAGAATAATACTGGCAGCTCTGTTCTTGAGAGACAGAAATTCACTAAAAAAAGCAAAACGTGCCTTGAGAAGACTCCATGGAATTTAAAGTGAAGAGGTTTTGCTGGGTAGCGAGATCCCATTATTGGCATTGCATTAGAATTGGCAGTCATGGTCAAAATACATCCAGGCCCATTGTTTGCTTCCTAGACAATTCCCATGTGAGGTACTTAAATGAACATTTTTCTTCAGAATATTTTTCAGGCCTCAGAAAAATAATTGGCTGAAGTGAGAGTACTTCTGAATGCAGCCGTTGTTCTGGAAGTTGAAATATTTCAAAACAAAAGCCTGTATGAATGTCTGCAAGGGAGATCATAGAGAGGGGGGGGGGGGGGGGGGGGTTGCCAGGAGTCCGTTTTGCAGAATTTTATCATATTGAAATGCTGCAAAAACAAAACTATTTTTTAACTGGAGTTGCAGATTTACAGCTGTCAATGAAGAGTTATATAATCCTCCCCTTTTCCCAGTGAACCCTGAGGTATGTGGTGTAAGTGAAAGTCTGGAAAGACTCTATAGTGCTGGGGTTTGCTGAAGTTTTCCTTGAAATGTGAAGGTAATTCAAACCTTGCTATTGGTGCTGGTATCATTATATTCACTGGTCTCAACTAGTAGGCTCCGATGACAGACAACTAACATATTTACTTAAGCAGAACCTGCTGAACATCTGATTAAATTCATTTTCCTCTTGAGAGCTGCTGAGTTCTTTTGCCTTGTCTTACAGCGTGCTTCCCTCCCCCTGCCCCCCACCCCTGCTCCCCTCACCATTAATATAAACCCTCTGCTGGAAGTGAGGGGGTGAAGAGAGCATCAGATATGGTTTAAAATGGCTTAAAGAATGATCTAAATGTCTGATGGATTCAGCACTGTGCTGGCAACTGTTTCTTAACATCTGTTTCATCCTGGAGTAATGTTACTTATTTTCTATTGAGATGACACATTAGATCAGGGAACACTTTCTTTCTACTGTCTTTAGGCAGTGATTTGTTTTTTGCAAACATTGATCTCATTATAACGTTTTGGGGAAAAAAATTAAACTTGCTACGGTGTTACATGGTTGACCTTATGGTGATGAGTGACTTTTGTATATTTTGGTGATGTCTAACATGCATGCCTTCAATCTCCACAGAGCCCAAATAAGCTACCATTTCAAGTAAGGAATTTCACTGTTTAACTTTACTTTGTATTTACGCCCTTACTGGACTGCACTGCTTGGTCTTTTGGTCAAATTAAGACATAAGGAAGCATGGAATGAGAAGAAATCGCTTTGTTCACCAAGCTCCTTTTGTGGACTTTCCTGAACTCATTCCCACCCTGAGGGACTGAATTTCCTCAGGTTGTGCTCAAGTTAAAGATTTAATCTCATTAACGATGAAATTGCAATAACTGCAATACCCCTGGTAATGGTTCAGAAGACCCTACAAAGTATGTAGCAACCCATAGGCCCCCATATCAGTGAGGCTTGATATCTCAGCATATCTACGCTGATTAAATACGTTTTCATACATACATGTGATTACATGTCAGTAAGATTTTGAACATGATTGACAAATTGTCTACCATATCCTAAGCTTTTTATTCCATAGAAGAATAAAATAATCATTTGATATATCTCCCTGTCTCAAAGAGTTTTACAGGATATACTGTAAAAGTGGATTGACAGTGTATTTTGTGGGCAAAACACAGCAGCCAATGTCACACAAGCAGCAATGTCACACAATCAGCCATGGAGTCAGTGACCAATTTGATTTCAGGAATTGTTGGCCAGGACACTGGGACATATAAACTCAAAAAAGATACACACTGATTTGTATATTCGTGATATTACACTGAGGCTTATATCATCCTATGTTACTTTACACATTTCTGAAGCCTGTAATGCACTTTACTTTCACTTTACTCTAGATATAAGCATGCAACATTTCATCACAAAGCTGTGCTGGATACAGAGCTGCCAAAGCAATGGCCATGGGGAGAACAAAATGATACGACAGATTCACACTGGAAGGTCACAGTGAGAAGCACGACAACTCACAGAAGTGACCCAATCATCTGAAGCTCAAATACTGAATAAAGGTACAATTCCCTCAGAAGCTTTCTGTGGACACAGGACGTGACCTGCTTTGTCTAGGGAAAGAAAGTAAGCGTCAAAACTTGACTTAGCTGTTCATTTGTCCTTCTTCAAATCCAATAATTGTTCCAGATTAGCATGATCCCACGCCTGACTTACAAAAGGGCCATCAATATCTTGAAGCTTCCAGTGTACAAATAACAATGTTCGCCTATTAGATCAACGGTATAGTTTCAAAAGTTGTATGGATAAAATCTTGTATGCCTAATAATTTAAACATTCTTATTTGGTAGCCACCAAATAAAAATCCATTTACCTGCAACCAAAAGCAGCCTGAAACTTGAGATTGGTTCTAATAACAATCCATGCATTTGGTAGCGCCTTACCACGTCGTCGAGCGCATCAGAGAGGATATAATGTAAAATGATTTGACTATATTTTTGGGCTGCACACAGTAATGTCCCACACACAGTCATGGATTGAGTGACCAATTTTATTTGGGGGATTGTTGGTCAGACAATAGGATAAACTTGCTTCTCTTTTCGAAGTGCCATTTGAGTCCTTAGTGCCATGGGATCCTTATTGTCGACCTGAACAGGCAGACAGGAGCTTGGTTTAATGTCACATCCAAAGGACGGCACCTCAAAAAATGCAAAACACGCTCAGCATTGCAGTGGAGTATCACCTTAGACTGTGTGTTTCCAAGTCCCAATGTGGGACTTGAACCTGTAACCTTCTGATCCAGAGGAAAGATTGAGCCAGTGGCTACCACTGAGCCAAGCTGACACACAATAATAAACTTGTTGCTTGTAGCCAGATGGCTCAACAATCTATACATTGCTCACAAAACCATCTACATCATCTGATCTCTTTCAATACAGAGACAGTTGTTTTCGCCAGGATTTAACAAGCAGCTGCTTTCTAACTCGTTTCATCTGTTTCTTTTTCCTCCTCAAATGTTACCTTTTGATCTTACAGAGTGAGACTGTGGGAATGAATTAATATCATTCTTCAAGGTCATGTTCAAAAAGGTAATTTTGTTTTAAAAGGTAAATGAAGTCTAAAAGAAGAACTTTCGACTCAAAGTCCTCCCATAAATACAGAAAAAAAATGTAAAAGTACGAATTTCTAGATGGGGAGAGACTAGATAGTGTTAATATTTAGAGGGATTTAGGTGTCCTTGTACACTAGTCACAGAAAGTTAGTATGCAGGTACAGCTAATAGCATGTTAGCGTTTATTGCAAAGGGGTTAGAGTACAAGAGTAGAGAAGTTTTGCTGCAATTGTATAGGGCCTTGGTGAGACTGCACCTAGAATACTGTGTGCAGTTTTGGTCTCTTTATCTAAGACAGGATATACTCGCTTTCGAGGGGGTGCAACATAGGGTCTAGGTTGGTTCCTGGGATGAGGGGCTTGACCTACGAATAGAGGTTGAGGATATAGGCCTATATCCTCTAGAATATGGAAGAAGTAGTGGTGATTTTATAGAAACCTATAAGATTCTTAAGGGTCTTGACAGGGTAGATAGTGTGAGACTGTTTCCCCTGGTTGGAGAATCTAAAACTAGGGATCATAGTCTCAGGATTAAAGATCAGCCTTTTAGAATAGAGTTGAGAAAATATTTCTTCACTCAGAGGGTAGTGAATTTATGGAACTTTCTACCCCAGAAGGCTGTGGATGCTAAGTTATTGAACATATTCAAGAGTGAGATCGATAGATTTTTAAAAACTAAAGTGATTAAGGGATATGGGGATAGGGCGGGTAAATCGAATCAGGTTAGAAGATCAGCCATGATCTTAATAAATGGCAGGGCAGACTCGAGGGGCCGATTGGCTTACTTTTGCTCCTATTTCTTATGTTCTTATGATTTCCCTATTATGAGGAATTCTTATTTAAGCACTGAAACTGAGATCCAGTTTCTCCTGCCTTCGCTGTGTAATCTTTTCTAGATTTAGGCAAAGGCTCCCAGCAGCTTCGTTGAATTTAATGGGATGCAGTCATCTCCTCATAATAGATGTTATTAAAGCAGCTTAGTGGAGGAAGAGCAGGGTCCCTAATAGTTTCTTATTGTAATAATAATCTGTGCACTTGATAAAACGCCTTATCGCATCTACGAGAAGTCTCAAAGTGCTTCACAGAAATATACTGTACCAGATCATTTCAAACAAACAGAAGCCAGGCTGTGTACACCGCTTAATTGGGATCTGCTGTGAAGACTTAGCCAGAAAGTGTGTTGTGCCCTCCCAAATGAGAGGAATCGGATTCGATTCCCGGGCAGAATGAAACTTTAGGCAAGTTTCCTTGCTCCACATGCCTCTGTTTACCCAGCAGTAAGGAACCCGATTATTAGTCAATTGGCAGATTGCTTTCCGGGATTGACAAGGGCTCAATTCAGTAGCTCAGCATTTGTGAGATGATCGGAAGGTGAGAAACTTGACCTTCTATCCTTGATGCTGAGAGCATCTGTGTCTTTCTTTTTTGGGTGGGGGGGGTAATAATTCCTCCAAAAAAAATAATAATTTTGTCACTCAATCCATGACTGCTTGAGGAACACTGCTGTGCATAATTGGCTGCCGTGTTTCACCCACAAAATACATAATCACTCCACTTTACAGTGTATCCTATGAAGTGCTTTGAGACATCTCAATGATCTGATAAGGGGCTACATCGAATGCAAATATTATTATTAAAGTGAATTGAAAGATTATAACAAAGATTTCTTGCTATAGGGAAGCAATAGTTCTACAATGGTGTATGTATAAGTAGAATAATTTGAACAGGAAATATTCCCTTTAGATATTATTTTTTGAATGTAGAATAGTGAATATGGAAAGTATACTATGCTGTCTTGGTTTAAACCTATGTAATCTCTTCCAGCCCTATTCCTTTGCTATTCTGATTCTGGTCTGATCACTACTCACTCCTTCCATCCCATCACAAGTGTCTGACTTCAGTGACAATGCCCTACCCACCAAAATCTCTTCATTTTATCTTCTCACTGTTGGCCTTTAAAACCCTCTTAAAACATATCTTTTTGACAATGCCTTTGGACAACATTGCGAAATCTCCCTTTTCCTTGGCTGGTGCTCTCTATTGTATCTATTAAGCTCTTCAAGGACGTTCAACCTATGGAAATGGCGCTAGACAAATGCAAGTTGTTATTATAATCGAGATCTTGTGAAGCGCTTTGAGACGTCGCAACAATGTGATAAGGCGCTAAATCAGATGAAGGATTATAGATTATATAATGCTGAATTGACCCTGTCTATCATCATTCCACGGCTGTTGTGACAAAGCCGACATTTCATCAGTGTGACAGGAGTGCACAGAACAACTCAGTCACTGAAGAGGCCTGCTCCCTCCACATTTGGTCTGCTCCCTTTGGTGTGATGTCCTGGATCAACATTTGCTCTTAAGACAACTATCAAACACACGCGAGATGCATTAGATTTCACTGACCTTACAATTTGGCTGCCTTCACACAAAAGAAAAGTTTATGTTGCCTGCAAAATAAATAAATGAGAATAATGTGAATGAAATTCACATAATGTGAATAAATAATGTGAATAATAATGTCAATAATGTGAATCTGTGAATAATGTGAATAAATTCACATTATTCACAAATATACAGTCAATTCACTTTACAGTATATTCTGTGAAGCGCTTTGAGACATCTAGAAGACGTGAAAAACGCTATATCAAATGCAAGGATTATTATTATTATTATTAACTGATCAGAGAGATAAGGGTTATTTTTATGGCATGTGATATTTGGGTCAATGTAAGGGTGTGATTTGAGTTTGCTTCATTTCCATTCCCCCGCTCCACCCTCTCCCTATCTCTCCAGCGCTGCATATGTCCGATCTGAAACACATTTGATTGTACTTCTTTTAGTTAACTCTGGACAATGTAAGAATAATAAAATATAATCCTTGTGTTTGATATCGTGCCTATCAAAGCGCTTCACAGGGTATACTGCATACAAGTGTGCTATGAAAAGACTTTGAGACATACTGTATTTACATCTATTTAGTTGGTTTAATTAACTTGTATATGACAATATATGTGGGTATAGTTAATGGATAATGTATGTGAGGATATTGCATGTGGATGATTGGAAGCACTTGTGTGGCTGCCGTTAGTCGTGTAAAGTTAAGTGTATATTATAGGGATTAGGTAAATATATATGAATGCCACTTTGGATATGTGGATGCGTGGTGATCTGAGAAGTGACTAGATACATCTTTCTACAATAGATGGGACATATTTTTTAAAGTACAATACGTTAGGATCTTTAATTAAACCAACTAAATATGTGTAAATATAGTATGTCTCAAAGTCTTTTTCATAACACACTTATCTGTTAACTAGCAAACCATCAGATAAACGACTGTGCGACATTGCTTTGTACAGTGGTGGTAATGTTTTGATTTGCTTCAAAAAATTTTAAAACTTGTTTACTAAGACACTCTCTTTCAGTAAAATAAGAATAAAAAAAACAGAAAATGCTGCCCACAAAACACGCACAGTGACAGCACTTTACAGTATATCCCGTGAAGTGCTTTGATAGACACTATATCAAACGCAAAGTGCATCTGCTCCCCACATACACATTCACCCACAGCCACAATCACACGTAATCCACAAAATATCCACACATATTTACCTACACATGTACACTTTGATTGATGACAAGTTTAGTTGTGAGATAAAACCAGTCTTGTATGAAACAGAATTGAGCACAAATCTAGAAAGGAAATCCAACTGAACACAGATTTGGCCAGTTTAATAAACTCAGACCTAAGCAAAATATATTGGGTCAGATCTTGATAGTTTTTTTTCATAATAAAAAAACAGAAATCCATCATATTTTAGTGTAGTCTTAAATCCATTGTTTTATACTTTAAGGTGGTCCAAATTTTAGATTTTCTACCATCCTAACAAATCAGTTTTCAAATTAAAACAAAATTAACATTTTTTTCACAACTTTACACAATCTTCAT